TCTCTAGAGAGAACCGAGGTTACGTTAGTAACCGAGTACGTTCTCTTACGAGAGTATCTCTCGTACTGCATAATAGCTTTACGCTAGGGGAACACAATGCAACACGCCGTGCGTACAGGGATCCAACACCAAAGTCCCAAGGGCCGAAGCCCAGGGCTCATGTAGTGCATAATCACCATAAACTCACATAGAGTGGAGGAAGAGAGGCTGGAAGCGTCATTCCCTATAAAAAAGTACCCAGCGGGGCTATCATATGACAATAAAACGCGCAGCCAGGGTGAAAGCTTTCAGCCTGATCTGGGTGGCCATACGTGTGTCAACACTCATGGGGCTGCAGTAAACTCAGCATCTGGGCCGCACAGCGGGGCAGATAGCACTGAATTTTAGACCGCCAAAAGCTTAGCTTGTAAGGCGGGTACCTCCAGGTTATAGTATTTTATAAATGTAGACGGCGAGGCCCAGCCCGCGGCCGTACAGATATCTTGCAGGGAAACCCCACTCGACCAAGCCCACGAAGAGGCCACGCCTCTCGTGGAGTGCGCTCTGACACCCAAGGGGCACTGTAGGCCCTTTGCAGAGTAAGCGAGCGCAATGGCATCCACTATCCATCTGGATAGGCTCTGTTTTGAGGCGGCGAGTCCCTTGGAACGCCCGCCAAACAAAACGAAAAGCTGCTCCGTTTGTCTGAAAACAGACGAGCGTGACACATAAGCTCTCAATGCCCTGACGGGGCAAAGGAGACTCGCGTCCTCCTCCTCACTGAGAACCGGAAGGGCGGACAGGGAAATTACCTGGGCCGGTGTATTGAGGGATTTCGGGACATACCCGTGCTTAGGTTTGAGAATGACCTTCGAGTCATTAGGCCCAAACTCCATACACGACGCGCTTACTGAAAGCGCCTGCAAGTCCCCTATGCGCTTCACTGAAGCGAGAGCCATGAGAAACACTGTTTTGAACGACAGGTGTTTCATGTCCACCAGCTGGATTGGCTCGAACGGGGCGCCTTTCATGGCCTCCAGGACCGTGGAAAGGTCCCACGTCGGGACTGAAGGGGGCCTGGGAGGGTTCAGCCTCCGAGCTCCCCTAAGGAAACGCACGACTAAGTCGTTTTTCCCCAGCGACTGGCCAGACACTGGTTTTGCAAACGTTGCTATGGCCGCCACATATACTTTGAGCGTGGATGGGGTCCTGCCCTTATCCAGTAGCTCTTGAAGGAAGGAAAGCACTTCCGAAACCCCGCATTCCACAGGTGAAAAGCTCCGGGCTTGACACCATGCAGAGAAAACAGACCATTTCGAGGAGTAGAGCCGCCTGGTAGACGGAGCTCTAGCCTGCGCGATCGTTTTTAACACTCCTTCTGGGAGGCTAGCGGGTACCCGTTGATAGCCCATGCGTGCAGGGACCACAACTCCGGGCGAGGGTGCCAAATCGAGCCCTCCGCCTGAGAGAGGAGATCTCTCCTCAATGGTACAGGCCATGGGGCAGTGCTGGTCAGCTGCATCAGGGCAGGGAACCACGTCTGGTTTGTCCAGAGCAGAGCTACGAGCAGCACTGGGCATCCGTTCTCCCTGATTCGTTCCAACACCTGAGGCAGGAGCGAGACAGGAGGAAAAGCATACAGGGGGCAGCGGGGCCAGACATGAGCCAGCGCGTCCTTGCTTTTCGAGAAAAACTCCGGGCAATGAGCGTTTTCGTGGGACGCGAATAGGTCCACCTGTGCTCTGCCGAACGTTTTCCACAGCAGCTGGACCGTCTGCGGGTGCAGCGACCATTCCCCTGCTGGAACATTGTTCCTGGACAGTCTGTCTGGTCCCACATTCAGGTGACCAGGCACGTGCGCTGCTCTCAGTGAGAGCAGGTTGTGCTGAGCCCAGACCATGAGGCGTTCCGTCAGCCTGTGAAGGTTTCGTGACCTGACGCCGCCCTGGCGATTTATGTACGCCACCACTGACATGTTGTCCGACCGGACCAAGACGTGGTGGCCTGTTATCTAGGGACAAAAACGCCGTAGCGCTTTGTCGACTGCTATCATCTCCAAGCAGTTTATGTGAAGGAGCTTTTCCCGTTCTGACCACAGGCCAGCTAGCGGTCTGCCCTCGAGCAGTGCTCCCCACCCCGAGGTGGAGGCGTCCGTAGACACCACCTTCACACTCGAAGCGGTCCCCAGACTCACACCTGACTGGTACCAGTCTGTTATTTTCCAAGGTTCCAGAGCTGAAACACACTGAAGGTCGACCCTGAGGCTAAACAGACCCGCTGTCCATGCCCTGGGTGGAACCCGCGCTTTCAGCCACATCTGCAGTGGGCGCACACAGGGAATAAAAGGATATAGAACGCCGGAAAGCGCAGCAGGTACGGCAGTTGAAGGCGGCGAGGCCAGCGACTCCAGAGCTCGTCCCGCTGAAAGGCTTGCTTCGACGGCGCGGCTTCTCACTCCGGATCCAGCGATGCGTGTGCGTCGCTGAAGAGATAAAAATCAGCTTGTACCAGCCTAACGAGCATATTTATAGGGTGAGACCACGCCCTTTCTGGCGGGACGTGACGATATGGGCGCGAATTGCCCCCATTGGTCATTACGTCACGCAGAGTCTCTCTCGATAGGCTGCTGCATTTGCCGCAGGAGCAACCAATAGGCGCTTGCTGTTTCGCCTATGTTTGCTTGCTGCTGCAAAGCGTTTTACATTAATAAAAAATTAAGGATAATTTTTGGCTTCAATATCTCGTGGAAAAGAGTTTTTCCCCTAGCGTAAAGCTATTACGCAGTACGAGAGATACTCTCGTAAGAGAACGACATCTTGTCTTTCATATGTAACATATCGTTTTTATGATTAGGACATATAAATGTTAATTTGCAGTTTAATACGTTGCTTATACAAAAATATTTTATTTCAACATATTTCAGTCGATTTTTACTCATCTCAGTATTGGAATATAGTTAGGTAAAAGCTGTTCATTCATTCACACACAAAAACGCGATTCAAACAGTCTTTTTGTTTACAGACACTATTCCATATCGCGATTAGCACAAAGCACTTGAAAATAAAGAATGTACCTATTTCCTCGGCTGGATCCGTTGCTCCTCCAAATGAAACTACCTGTAGCCTACTTCTGAGGTAATTTTTTCCAGGATTATTATTAAGATAGTACTATTATTCCTCACAGCGTCTTAAATCCGTCTCTTTCGGTGGGTTATCCAGCTGATGTGGGCGTGGATCGCCTCAGAGCATTTGTGCTTGAATAGAGCGCGCGCTCCGTGGGCGTGGTCAAATTAACTTTAATGAGCTGAGACGAGAACGACTATCATCTCTCTCTTTTCGTACAGATTACATAAAATGAGAAAATTTGTTTTTTAGATAAATTACTTCATTTAAAAGAAGATAATTCAGGCTTCATGCATGTGTGCCTGTATACTTGTTTGACTGAGTATTTGCACAGTTACAGTTGATTTTTCGGACGCGTTTCAGAATGGACTTCACTGACAGAGAGAACGCAGAACGCGCATCATGTTTATTTTTCTTTATTAGGCGAAAAGCACAACACTTTGTTTTTATTATGAGGTTCCACAAAAAAAATACAAACTTAACAGGATCGAATGATGTACAACACTTATATGTAAGATCAAAATCAACAGAGTAATTTGAGTCTCTTTTGCACTGATAAGGAAAAAAGTGAGCTGGTATCGCCGGCGAGACCGCCGACCCCAGAGGGTTAACTCAGAAAGTCGGCACTCCACCTCCTCCAGGAGACTTTACGGACAGAGACCTCCTAACCAAGCAGTGGAGACAAGTACAAGCCTTGTCCAACATGTTCTGGCGCCGTTGGAGACAAGTGTACTTGTCAACCTTACAAGGCCGGAAGAAATGGACCAAATCTCACCAAAATCTGCAAAAAGGAGATGTCGTCCTCCTCAAGGACAACCAAGTTGTCCGCAACAGCTGGCCTATGGCGATAGTTACAAAGGCTATTCCTGGAAAAGACGGGAAAGTCCGTAAGGTGGAATTGAAGACCACAGATCAAGGACATTCAAAAAAGTACCTTAGACCAGTGACAGAACTTGTTTTGCTTCTGAGTAGAGAGTGATGTTCATCTGTTTAGTTAATACATAACTTGTTTGTGTAGTGACCTCCCAGATGTCAGGCGGGGAGTGTGTTGCCATTAAAGGGATACTCCACTTTTTTTGGAAATAGGCTCATTTTACAACTCCCCCAGAGTTAAACTGTTGAGTTTTACCGTTTTTGAATCCATTCAGCCGATCTCCGGTTCTGGCGGTACCACTTTTAGCATAGCTTAGCATACATCATTGGAGTGGACAAGACCATTAGCATTTCTAAAAAAAAAAAGACCAAAGAGTTTCGATATTTTTCCTATTTAAAACTTGACTCTTCTGTAGTTACATCGTGCACTAAGACCGACGGAAAATGTAAAGTTGCGATTTTCTAGGCTGATATGGCTAGGAACTATACTCTCATTCCTGCGTAATAATCAAGAAACGTCACTGCCGTACCAGGAGAGCAGCAGGCGTAATGATATGACGCAGCGCCTGAAAATAGTTCCGTTGTGTTGACGGAAGGTGGCCTATTTTCAGGCGCTGCGTCATATCATTGCGCCTGCTGCTCTCATGGTACGGCAGTGAAGTTTCTTGATTATTACGCAGGAATGAGAGTATAGTTCCTAGCCATATCAGCCTAGAAAATCGCAACTTTACATTTTCCGTCGGTCTTAGTGCACGATGTAACTACAGAAGAGTCAAGTTTTAAATAGGAAAAATATCGAAACTCTTTGGTCATTTTTCTTTTAGAAATGCTAATGGTCTTGTCCACTTCAATGATGTATGCTAAGCTATGCTAAAAGTGGTACCGCCAGAACCGGAGATCGGCTGAATGGATTCAAAAACGGTAAAACTCAACAGTTTAACTCTGGGGGAGTTGTAAAATGAGCCTATTTCCCAAAAAAGTGGAGTATCCCTTTAAGGCAAAATGTTAGGGACTTTTATTTTGATATGATGTAGACCTGTAGTTTGGGGTTAGAGGTTATTTCCTGTACAGAAGTAAGGAAGCTGACAGAATGTGAGCACATGTAATCCATTTGTTGTTAGCACTAGAGGCAATGTCGTAAGTACAAAATTCATTTTTATGTTAATAAGTTAATGTTACAATACTGTTTAAAAAGAAAAGACTACACATAGTTACAATATTTATTTACATGTATATACAGGTATTTTTATTGTAACTAGATTTATGTTAAAACAGTCAAACTTTATTTCTTTGTTACAGTTTTCACTCTGTCATGTAAGATGATGTTGAAGCCACAGTAAACAGCAAGAAATCGCTCACTACGACTTGTCGTCATTTTGCATCAGAGTTAGCTGGTTGTATAGCTACAGTTGCTACACTGCAGTGAGGACAACACAAGCATGATAAGGACTGAACCTGCAAGAAATAAAGAGGATTTTAAAATGTTGAAGAGTTTTGCGCTTTGAACATAGTTATATTTCCCTTTCGAGGGAACTCGAACTGCGTCGATACGACACATTGGGGAATGCCCCCAAGCGTAGCGCCTCTGAAGCATGAATGAAACTAGGCCATTCGTGATTGGTGTTGCGTCATGATGTAAAAACCCCATTGCTGCCCACCAAACCCTGCCGCTATACATCTACTTTGGTAGAGTAGATTACCAGGCTGACCTTCTTAAAGCAATTTGATGTGGGCGAGGGGCCAACTCCAGAAGATGTTGCGGAGTTGAGAAAGGCTGCAGACTTGTCTCTCCGAGTCACCAAGGAAACGGCCCGCGCTATCGGCCGTTCCATGGTGGCTATGGTGGTCTCGGAGAGACATTTATGGTTAACCCTCTGGGGTCCAAGGTGTTTTTGGGGTCCTTGAGATGTTTTGACATACTCTGACATTTGTGCTTTTTTCAGTTGCTTATAAACAAATTACTGGCAAAGGTGTAATTACACTCTATTTAGCACAAACAGGTCTACCATAATATGTTATCAACATGTATGTACATGTTTGTATTTTTGAGAGAATATTGTTTATGCGTGGTTATTGAAAAAACTAAAACTTAAAGTTTCTGAAATAAGGCCACAAAACACATACTAAATATGTGTCCACAAGATTTTTGACTAATGGATGTTGTCGCCTAGAGTTTTTTCTTCAAAATGACCTGAAAATCATCCTGCCTTATCATTCACATAAAACAATAGATTGGTTTAAATTTAAAAATGACACTTTTTGTTTGGAAAGGCAATATGCGCAGGGGTGTGACCTGCTGTGATTCATATTAATGGGGCTGCATACTAATGACCCTTTCATTCAGGTGTATCACTGAGTCACAAGAATGCAATGACAATATATATATATATATATATATATATATATATATATATATATATATATATATATATATATATATATATATATATATATATATATATATATATATATATATATATATATATATATGCCTATATAATACAAAATTGGTTCACAGTTCCAATTATTTATTTATTTTTCAAATTGTGCTTGCAAATTGTATAATATCAAATGTAAACATTTCTAGTAATTGTGCAGTTAATTCTCATACTGTTTTTACAGAAAGTTTGGGAATATATCCCAAATGTGTCACTAATAAAACACAATACAAATAATTTAAAGAGGAGGCTTATATTGAGCTTTTAAGATTTACCTAAGATTTATTTATATGTAGCTTACATATATTTTTGCTATTTTAATAAAAAAGGTTACAATTACAACAACAATTAAAATTTTAACTATATTTCAAATGTAATCTTTCTTTGTATATACTAAAGTATACATTTTATCATACATATTTCACAGTTGCAGATTAATTAGTTTGAATATAGCCTACAATTGAACAAACACTATAATAACATCTTAGCAAACAAGCATATTTGATGTGCCAGTATTATACAGTAAAAACGACATCTTGTCTTTCATATGTAACATATCGTTTTTATGATTAGGACATATAAATGTTAATTTGCAGTTTAATACGTTGCTTATACAAAAATATTTTATTTCAACATATTTCAGTCGATTTTTACTCATCTCAGTATTGGAATATAGTTAGGTAAAAGCTGTTCATTCATTCACACACAAAAATGCGATTCATATTCAAACAGTCTTTTTGTTTACAGACACTATTCCATATCGCGATTAGAACAAAGCACTTGAAAATAAAGAATGTAGGCCTACCTATTCCTCAGCTGGATCCGTTGCTCCTCCAAATAAAACTACCTGCACTTGAGGTAATTTTTTCCAGGATTATTATTAAGATAGGATTATTCCTCACAGCGTCGTAAATATGAGTCTCTTTCGGTGGGTTATCCAGCTGATGTGGGCGTGGATCGCCTCAGAGCATTTGTGTTTGAATAGAGCGCGCGCTCCGTGGGCATGGTCAAATTAACTTTAATGAGCTGAGACGAGAACGACTATCATCTCTCTCTTTTCGTACAGATTACATAAAATGAGAAAGTTTGTTTTTTATATAAATTACTTCATTTAAAAGAAGATAATTCAGGCTTCATGCCTGTGTGCCTGTATACCTGTTTGACTGAGTATTTGCAGAGTTACAGATGATTTTTCAGACGCGTTTCAGAATGGACTTCACTGACAGAGAGAACGCAGAACGCGCATCATGTTTATTTTTCTTTATTAGGCGAAAAGCACAACACTTTGTTTTTATTGTGAGGTTCCACAAAAAAAATACAAACTTAACAGGATCGAATGATGTACAACACTTATATGTAAGATCAAAATCAACAGAGTAATTTGAGTCTCTTTTGCACTGATAAGGAAAAAAGTGAGCTGGTATCGCCGGCGAGACCGCCGACCCCAGAGGGTTAAATCTGTCGGGCATCAAGGAGAAGGACAGGGCTTTCCTCCTTGATGCCCGATTTCACCTTTTGGCCTGTTCGGCGACGCCGTAAATACAGTTGTCGACAGGTTTCAGAAGGTGAAAAAACAGTCTGCAGCCTTTAGAAAATATCTCCCTCGCCGCTCTAAATCTAAGTCTGCCCCCAGTGGGCAGCCACCACAGCCATACACCTGCTCTCCCGGCTACAGACAGGCGCAAAAAGAGAGTGTCGCTTCTAGAGCCCCCCCCTCAAGGAGGCGCTCTCAACTGAAGCCTCAACAAAAGCAGGGCGACCTGAGGGCTGTACTGCAGGTGAAAAAGGCTTCGGGGAAGAGATCCTAACAAATGTAGGATCTCTTCGGGCTGCCCCACCAGTGGTGGAGTGATCGAGGTCGCCTCTTCCGCGGAGCCCACATAAAATCGATGTCGGCTTCCCGCCGTCAAGTGCGCTTCTTGACGCATCGGTTTCCAGCGAACGCACGCTGCACTGTCTGCCCCACAGGCTTGCGGCCAAGCACCGTTCTGTTGGTAAAGGAGGCCATAGAACGTGTTCCTCCCCCGGACAGGGAGTCCGGGTTTTACAGCCTCTATTTCATAGTTCCCAAGAAGGATGGGCGATTGCGTCCAATATTAGATCTGAGGCATTTAAATCGGGGGGGTATGAGATCCAACCCTCTATGCAAACTGGGGCATCAGATCCTCCTGTGGTCACTGGGGAGACTGTTGTCTCTCAGAGCAACATACATCATTCCCAGGGGATCAAAATCAGGGAGCAGACATCCTGTCGAGGCAGGGGCTGAGGCCCGGTGAATGGAGACTCCACCCCAAGAACGTTTTTTTTTTATTTGTTTATGTGAACGTTAGAAGAACATTCCATTCTATCATTTTGGAAATGTTATGAAAACTTTCTTTTTTTATGTTTTCTGAACATTCAAAACATCGTTTTTTTTTTTTTTTTTTTTTTTATTAGGAAGGTTTTTTTTCTTGGTTTATGTCAAACGTTAGAGGAACATTCAGTTCTATAATTTTGGAAATGTTACGAAAACGTTATTTCTGAATGTTTTCTGAAAGTTCAAAACATCTGTTTTTTTAAAGTAAGAGCATTTTTTTTTCTTGGTTTATGTGAACATTAGAGGAACATTTACTACTATCATTTTGGAAATATAATGAAAACGTCCAGTGTTTTTTAATGTATTAAGAAAGTTTTTTTTCTTGGTTAATGTGAACGTTAAAGGAACATTCCATTCTCAACATTCAGTGAAACATTTTGAGTCAATTTTGGAACTCTGAATTGACTTGTATTATGTATAGTTGGTTTGATCACATCATTAGAAATAAGTGTGAACAATTTTGTCATTGTGTGTCAAGACTGTGTGTGTAAACTATGACAACTGTGTTGTACTTTTGCCTGCCTGTGTTTAGCATTTTGAAACATAAGCGCATCACAGTGCGAAATGTGTTTTAGTGAGTGAAAATGTGTTTAGAGTTTTGAAAAAAAAGTGCGCATGATATTTGCAAAAAGTGTTTTAACTACCTGAACTTTTTTTACAGAAAGAGTCATTTATTCGACAAATTGGTTTAGGCTATTGAGAATTTGGTTCAGAGAATGGGGTTTAGTGGTTTAGCAATTCAGAAAAACTGTAACATCAAAACTGCATAATGTTACTGAATGAGCTATAGGACTGTGAAGCTTTGGGATGTTGATGGACTCAATCTACTCCATGTTTTGTTCAATCTACCCACATTCAAGTGTTGATAAAAAAAGAATGCATTAAGCTAAAATTAAACGTTTTTTTTTCTTTTTTAAAGTAGAGGGTTGGTTCTTTCTATTGATATATTGCATGTTCAGATATTCATACAATAAAATATTCTGGTTGCTATGAAAATTTTATGAAAATTATCAAAAATGCTGGAGGTGGCTGGCAACTTTAAGAAAAAATGCTCTCGGGGAAAGAGTAAAATACTGGGGGGATGATGAGCGACATGCTGATGATGGCATAAAATTCTATAAAATTGAGGGTATAGATTGATAGACGTGTGACGTCGGTCAAAGTAACTGCGGTTACGCACAGTGTAATGGAATATTCGCAAAGAAACTTTTGTTGAAAGATGGAGCCAACTGTATTGAATCTGACAGCAGCTGCATCACAAATCGTAAATAAATGATTTCATAAAGCTTTTCAGTAAATGACGGTTTTATATGGATGATATATGGATGCATGGATGCAATGATAACAGTGATAACTGTTAAGTCATAACAGTGGCCATTTACTGACAAGCCATGAAGGAGCCGCCCCTTAAAAACTGATTATTTCAAACAGAGGGTCAGAATGAAGGTTGAAAATAATTGTTTTTCGCATATGTAATTGTAAAACTTTATTAGCATTATAAGTGAACCTCAAGGAACATTAAAATATTTTTTTTTAAATCCATGTCATGACCCCTTTAATATAT